CATGTGTCACGTAAGCAGGCTAGCGGTTCAAAAGTTAAAATCCTGGTAAGGCCTCTTTTCCCTGAGGAGCCATGTAAAATGAGACCCAGAGTCCTAAGTGAGGTTTTTTAGCCTCTTTGTTCTTTATGTATGTTTCCCTTTTGCTTTCTTTGGGAATTAGCAACAACAAAAAAAAAATCTTTTTTTTTTTTTAAATTTGGCTTGTAGCTGTACTAGTTGGGAAAGCAAGGAATGGGTTTAAGTCTAAACTTAACCATTTGTTAAAGGCTGGGATGTCTGGGTGAGGGAGGTGATAGAACAGTCCAGAAAGAGAGGTTCTTCCTTCTCTTCCTTCACCTCCCTCCTTCCCCCTCCAAAGAGCAGCTGAAACTCTCAGGGTCCAGGCGTAGTCAGTCCGTGACCCCTGCCAGTGCCAACCTTGGCAGATAGGGCTTTTGTTGAGGAAGGCAACATTTCCTTATCACTCGTGAATGAAAAAGTGGATCTCCAACTGGTTGGAAGTTCCAGTATTGCTACAAAGATGTGAAAAAATACAGGACAGTATTTTGAAGGGGCGGAACTACCCTCTCTTTAGTCTGGGAGTTAGCTCCCTTAGGCAGTTCTTAACTCTTTTTAGCTTCTCTCCTCCTCCTTTTCTGAACCCACATACTCTGCCACGAGAATTTTCTACAACACTGACAGTAAAGAGGCTGTGGAGGAGGAGGTACAGATTGCCTCTATAGGGAGCTTGAAAGTCAGGGAAATGCCTGTAGCTGCAACTTTGACCAAAGAAGGGAGCTGTTTTCTATTCTTTTTTTTTTTTGATATTTTTTTTGTTTTTTGTTTTTTTACTTTATTTATTTATGGCTGTGTTGGGTCTTCGTTGCTCCACGTGGGCTTTCTCTAGTTATGGCGAGCGGGGGCTACTCTTTGTTGTGGTCCGTGGGCTTCTCATTGCAGTGGCTTCTCTTGTGGAGCATGGGCTCTAGGCACGCGGGCTTCAGTAGTTGTGGCATGAAGGCTCAGTAGTTGTGGCTCGTGGACTCTAGAGCACAGGCTCAGTAGTTGTGGCTCACGGGCTTAGTTGCTCCGCGGCATGTGGGATCTTCCCAGACCAGGGATTGAACCTGTGTCCCCTGCATTGGCAGGTGGATTCTTAAGCACTGCACCACCAGGGAAGTCCTCTATTCGTATTTATATTCTTAAATTAGTTGTTCATTTGTTTTGTTCTACATTTATCAGAATTGTCTTCCTGATTCATGTCAAGCAGCAATTTTGGAAATGCCTTAGAGACTGAATATTAAAGCTGCAAATAAATAGAGCCTCTTTTGATGTTCTTTTGTTTGGCTTGGTTTTGTTTCATTTTGCATTTTTAAAATATCAGTAAGTTTTGAGGATATGAGTTTTCTCAAGTTCAGGGTTGACCAATCATCTTCTTGACATTTTTGCCAAAAATATTCTCACCTTTTGTACTTTGTTAAATCATCCAGAGTCTCTAATAAGAGAATAAGGAGGTAATCTAAAATCTCATGGTGATACATCGTTAAAGACAACTTTTGTTAATCTACCTTAATAGACAAGAGCAATGGTGTCAGTAATACAAAAAGCAAGTATTAAATTTTCTGGTTCTAAATGCAGTTTGCATGGTTTTGCTGTTATGTTATTGTTAATAGTGTTTTGCCTAATCTAGTACAATTCAGGAGTCCAAATATGGGTTTAAATTTTGCACTTGTTGACCCACAAAGTGAAAATCTCAGTGTTCAACACTGCAATCTTTTTAATATTTTAATTTGGTAATTGTTAGACTGGAAGAAGAGGTGGTGGTAGAGAAGTAGAGTAGTATCAGCAGTGCCTGATAGGCCTGAATATGAGGCAGAAAATGAAAGATTACGCCGTTGGCATAAATGGCTGTACAGTTGCACTCAGTAAATGTCTTTTTGTGTTCTTGTTTTCCCTCCTTAACAGTGTATGCTCTCCTCAATGTAATATAGGAAAGGCTAGTACCATTGGAGCTAGTATCTAGCTTACGCTTTTATTTTACTTGAATGTGCATCCTCCTGAATTGGGACCGAGATAACCATCCTTGTCAGACAGAAACTGGAGCAGGCAGCTGAAATGACGACCACGTTAAGGGTTTTAACCCTTCCCTTTGCATTTGGTAGTAGTCCCTATGACTCTTAGGAAAGCAGTAGAGCATCTTTCCCTGTACATTTTTTTCATATGGATGATTTCCTAACCTCGTAGACCCACATAGAATGTGGGTAGAAACACAGCACGGCTTGACATTGATTAAACCGAAATTCTAAAACCCATGTAACCTATTAACAGGATCTCTTTGTTTGGCTACTCAGTGGTAGAAGCTCTTCTCCCCTTTTATCAGGAAGAGGTGTCCTTTCACTGAGTACTTGGATACCTTTCGAGTTAATGCCAGCCTCTGTGCTAACCTTCCTTCTCCTTTTCCTCCGAACAGCTGTCGCTGAAGTGTAGAGCTCCTGAAGTCTCCCAGTACATCTATCAGGTCTACGACAGCATTTTGAAAAACTAATAGACTGGTCCGGTGCCCTCTGGCCACCCTGTGATCGGTGCAAGCCAAGAACTCTTAACTGGAAGAAAATTGTATTGCCGTGTAGAATCTGAACCCAAACACACTGAGGCCACCCACCAAGGTAGTGACTAGTCTAACCTGTGCTAACATTAGGGCACAACCTGTTGGATAGTTTTAGCTTCCTGTGACCATTTGTAACCACTGCTTCAATCACTTCCCACCTGGTGCCACCTGCTGCTATCTGTCCTTACTTGTGGGCTTCTCCATCCTGTACCAGTGGCTGGCATTTTTGAGTGTAGTTTGATATTTTGTAATCGAGAGCTTGTTTCAAAAGCAGAAAAAGACAAAAAAAAATTAAAGCAAGGAAAAGTGTCACTGAAACGTAAACTGCACTTTATTGTTTTATATTTTTGTACATATGAGAAATTGAGGGAATAGAGTGTAACTGAAAAAAAGTGTTAAAACAACCGCACAGTCCTGGAGGAAGAGATGCAGTTTCTTGCCCACCCCATTAGGGGATTTTTGTCTGTGGCAGCCTTGTCCCCTATCACTTTTTTTTCTCTCCAAACTCCTTTTCCTTGTGATTCCCCCTGCCCCGTATTATCATCTCCTCTGATGCTCTGCAGTTAGGAATGGTGGTCTTTCTTGAATGGTGCTGCAGGGTGCAGGAAATAGGGCCTGTCAGCATTGAGGCTGAGAAAAATGAGAACTTACTACATTCCTTTCCACTGATCTAATCTATTAATAACACTGATTAAGGAATTTGAATAGAGATGGGAAAAAGGAACCAAAATGCCCTTTCCCCATCTCCTGCTCTGGATTTATTTTAACTCTCAGGTCCAATTCAGATCTAAAATCTTAGTTTTAGAGTTGAAACAGACTTTAAGTAATAACTTACCCAACTTTTTTTTTCTAAAAAGGAAAAAGATAAAAGACAAACGGTGTTATTGCCTAAGGCCTGTTAACTGATCAGTAGCAGAGGTGGGGGCGTGGGTCTCCGAAGTCCTCATCAGTGTTGTCTTCACTGCAGGACCGGCTCCATAATTTTCTTCCGTCAATGCCTTTGTTTTACCTTTTCTGTGCCTGCTTCTTTATGGCTCTTCTCATACTTCATACAGATTTTGGCACTCCATTCATTGGCATCCGGTAGCAGCAGAGTATCTTTCCAGGGACTTGAAGGTAAATCCTGATGCCAGAATGAAGGAGTAGCTAATAGTCTCCTAGAGCCGCAGTTCTTGAGGCCAGCAGGATGGGTGCAGGGATGAAGTGAGCTTCGGGATGCCACAGATTCACTTGATCCTTCAGTTCTCTGATCTGCTCTTTACTTGTGTTGCTTAGGCTCCAAGGCAATTGAGATCACCTCAGAGGGCCAAGCGGTTCTCTTCATCTCTCAAAAGATTGGGAGATGTGAGGACCCCCTGCCCCCTGGACACATTGGGTGTGGTCTGTCAAAGAATGCTTCATGCCTGGAACACCAGTCTGTTTAGCAGTGTTCACACTGTTTCATCTGTGGGCACCTGTGCCGACCAGCACCCAGGATTCAGGGTCCGTGACTAAGACTGCTTCTCAGATGCCCCTGCTCAAATCAGAGGCGCTTGGGTCCAAAGGCCTCATGTAGGACCCAGACGTAAGAGTGAGCCCAGGAGAAGGAGGAATCATAGAAAACAAGAGCAGAAACTACCCCCCCAACCCTGTCGCAAGTGAAGTGACTCTGATTCATATCAGTTGCAAAGTTTTGGGGTGCAGGTCCCCCAAAGCAGCTTCTTAAACCTTGAGAATCTCCAAGAGAAGAATTTCTGGGGTGAGGGTCAGGAGCCATGTCCTGCGCTCCCCACCCCTCAGGCACGTGGAGCACAGGAAGCACAGGGCTGCGTGTGGGAGGTGGGTCAGTTGGTGACAGGTGGGGTAGAAAAGCAGGCAGGTAAAGTCCCCTTTTTGGGAACTCCCTCGTGGAGTCATTTGGATACAAGCAGTGAAGAAGGTCCGCACTACAACTGCAGTGTCTCACCTCAAAGCAAACTGCAGTTCCAGAAGGAAGAGCGCGTGTCAGGGTAAAAGCAGACAAGACAATTTTGCACCAAGATACGTTCCTCCACCCCTGAAACCAGGCTTCTCTCAGCCTCCCCGGCAGTGAGGGGAAACAGCTGCTGTTCTCAGCTGACCTGACTGAGCCAATCCGCACGCGAACTCTTCACTCCTTGGAGAGGCTGCCTCCCGGTTTGCCCCTGAGCAGTTAGGGAGGGATTCTGCTCCACGGAAAGGACCTCTCTCCTGAGGAGACAGAGCCTGTTGCCTCCACCACAGCTTCCCTTTGGGCCCATCTCAAGCCTGGCCAAACTGGGGAACGGAGTGGAGATTGCCCTGCATTCCCCTCTCCTCTGCCTCAGTATGTCTTTGTAACGTCAGCTGGTGTCTTACAAAGGGCAAGGGAAACACACACACACCCAGAACTCTTGCTGGTCAGAGATCCCCTGAGTGTCTGTCCTCGCCCGAGCCCGTTTTGTGTGTCTGTGTTGTGAACCTTGGGACTCTGGAGAGAGGGGAGGGGGGTGGTGGTAAACGTTGCCCAGTGAAGGCTTATCATTCTTTTGTTGTTGGGATCTGTTCTTGGGGAGGGTGGGGGTCAGGGGAAGCTTGACTTTGTCTTCGTCAATAAACTCTCATTTACATAAAATGAAGTTTGTGCCTATGTACTTTGTTCCCAGAGTGACAATCTAGGACAAGACACAGCTGGCCAAGGGAGGGATGGGCATTAATAACCATTCTATTAGAACTTGCCTTTTGGCCGTCCTAACCCTCCCAGGGATTTAGCCAGATGAAATGTTAAGATTGGCCTGAGGAAGAATCATATGTCTCAGAGGCTCCTCTTAACCAAGCCCCCTATCACCATCACCACACAGGCATTTCGCTGCCTGCAGGTCGCCTGCTAGGACCCAAAGCAGATGGTCCAGGGGCAGGCAGCCAGCCAGGCACAGGGGCAGAAGGAGCACAGCAGAGCTTCTTGTCGGTGTCCTCAGGACGTTTCACTAATGAATATATAAAAGCCTCTCAGATCTGCACTCAGGGCCTGCATGTTCCCAAGTGGATAGAATTAATGCTGCTTTCAAGCACACTTCCCAAGGAGTTCAGATCTAATCACCTGCATTTGTGTTGCCGGGGACACGTGAGCCAGGTGTGGTCAAGCTAGAGGCCCTGCCCCTGGTTGTGATGAGTGGACAGCGTCTGAAGTCTCCCACAGCCTGGAGTGGGGGAAGGAGGCTGAGGGATCCAATGCCCAGATGCCTTGAGCCTCTCTCACCAGTGGAGTGAGTGTAGGTAAGGTGCTTTGCACCGTGCCCAGCAGAGTAACTGCTTTTATTACATGGATGTCCAAACACCACGAACAAACTGCCTTTGGCAGCTGGGAACTCTTGGTTGTCTCCACGTGCTGGCTGCACTTAGCCCGAGCTCTAATTGGAAGGACACTTAGGGTGGAGTGGGGTCACAGTGGCCTTGGTGGAGGTTCAGAGGCAGAGAGCTGAAGAGGGATGGGCCTTACTGAGGGCTGATTGGGTTCACCAGCTAAGAATGTCAATTTTGGCCAAGAAAATCCTTAGGACGGACGCTTTCAACTCTTGGGTGCACATTGATCTCACCCAAGAGCTTTCGCAAAAGGCTGACGATGCTTGGCCAGTCGGGTGGGGCCTGGGGCAATCTGCATTTCAAAAAACTCAGATGTTTCTAGAAGGGCTGGATTGAGAATCACTGCCAGAGAAAGACTCACACTTGTTTGCCTCCTGCCTCTCCTGCAGTAATGGTGCTCTTGTGGCAGTTGAAAAACGGTAAAGCACTTTCATGCACGAGATGCCTGCCCATTCGTGAATTGAGAGCGTTATCCCCATTTTTCAGGTGAGAGAAGGCAAAGCCACGTCGTCTTCTGATTCCCTCTGTCCTTAACTACTACAGCTTCCCTTCATCTGTGCCACCAGGCCAAAAGCCAGCCTTGCTAAGCCCCTAAGGTCCCAGTGTGTTCAGTCTCCAAAAGCAGGGTATACTGGCCCCCAGACGTCCACCTGAGATTGCACCATCCTTCTCTGCCCCCACCCCCCGCCACCAGAGATCTCAGGTACATTGTTTCTGAGGCCAGAAAACAGCTGAGGACTTCCGGGTTGGAGCCTTCCTACTCCCACCTCATGCACTGATGCTTTTTCTGTTTTTGCCTGGACCCAGATTTCTTTTCCTGCCACCCCCAGCTCCAGGAGGCAAGAGCCTGTTTATTTTAATACCTGGTGTGGCACTTGGGAAAGATCACACCTCCCCCGCCGTTACCCATTTCTGTCTCCTGAACACTAATCCTAGAATCCCCACCAGCCCCCAGACATGTTATTAGCAACAAGGATGTTTCTTGAAAAGTTTCCGAGTTGGCTCCAAACTTGCCATCTCGGTTTCTCATTTAGCTTTTGCCCTGCTGTTCTTGATGCTGCCAACAAGAGGAAGACTAATTTAGGGATTGGTTAGACCCAGATGGACTTAATTTCCGGAATTATCCTTTTGAGACAGGACTGCCCTAACACTCTGGGACTGAGAGAACTCCACTACCCGCCTTCTCCCACTGGGTAGGTATTAGAGGAGGATGTTCAAGTCTAGTCTAGCCTCTGGCTTTCCCTCCCTTGTTTCATTCACTCTCCACTTATGGTCAAAGGCCCCAGGATCTGGCTAGCCAGCTTCTGAAAGCCAGTGGGATCCTCGGCTACGATGGAGCAAGGGCGGCGGAGTGGCAGGTTCGGGTCCTCATCCTCTGTCCCGCTCCGTGTCTGGGCTTCAGATGCTGCAGGTGGACCCATGCATTCCATCCCCTTAAACCTCAGGCGTCCTCAGCTGAACCAGAGCCACAGACTAAGGACAGAGCCTCTCAGGTTTTTTCACCAAGGTAATCCTAATCATAGAAGAGAGTGAACAGGCTCCTAGGGGCGTACATCCTTAGACCAAAGTGACTCTCAGCGAACCAAGATGATCTAACCGAGTCCTAAATTCAGGCACATTTTGCATTTTATGTTAATACTATGGGTTTGTTTTTTTATATAAGATATAATGCTTTAAATGACCTATCACTGCAAGCCAGTGTGAGGCCCCGTAAAGAACCTGTGGCTTTGTGTTCTCCTAGTATAGCTAAGTTGAGAATTCTGAGAAGCCTGGCCACAAGGTGTGTGTGAGCATTGCATGATTTCTCGTTTCTAGTCTCCCTTGGGCTGAAATAGAACCAGAATGGCGGGCCATAGCCTGGGGGAGTAGACATAAATTCTGGGATCCTTGGGCGGGGTAAGGATGAAAGATTTTCAAATAGAGTGGGGGGATTGGTAGTGCCTGGATGATTTAATCAAGTTTAGGAGTCTCTTGGTTGACTTGGTTGACC